CTTTATGAATAATCCTGAAAATTTCTTTAAAAAGCAACGATTATCTGACTTTTACAAGAATTTCAAAATCAATGGGTTTATTCAGCGAATAAAGACGCTCAAATTTCCAGTATTAATTTATGGCACCAAGTTCAAGCCAGAAAAAAAAAAATTTGAAACCAAAATTCCAAAGATTCTAATATATATATATATATATATATATATATATATATATACACACACACACACGTTGGTCTTTCTTCTTAATAATACAACAAAGAGTTCGACGATAAAACATTTTTTTTCATTAAGTTTAGTGTATATTTATCATCATGTAATTTCATTTGTAACGAATGTTTGGGAGTACATATAGAATACACTTAAGCTTGTGAATGAGTCCTGAAAGTTTCATTAAAATCCAACAATTGTACTACTTTATGGCACCAGCTTGACGCCAGAAAAACAAGTTTTTAATCACAATCCCAAATGTTGGAAAACGGATAATATATATATATATATATATATAATCAAATATGTGGTGCAGTTCAATTTATATTCCAATGAATCATTCGTACAAAAAGTAAACTAGTAAAGTTAGTTATATAAAATGAAGAAATTCAAAGGGATTTCGCCATTTTATATCATTAACTTTACTAATTTACTTTTTGTATGAATGATTCATTGTAATATATATATATATATATATACACACACACACATACATTCTTTTTATGTATACAAATATTTAAGTAAATGCTCTGTTTATAATAAACAGTATTAACAACATTTACCGGCCTGAATATCCGAGAAATTGTCATAGAAAATATTTGTCCTCCGCCAGGAATCGAACCTGTATCCTATACGAAAACGTCATATAGCCTGACGTGCCTTAACTGATGGGGCCACAGAAGACCGTTTTGGTTAGCAGCCTCGATTTTACTGTTTTTAAACATAATTATCTATGATTTTCTCTCATACATTCATATCTGCTCAATGCGTGTGTAAATGTAAAGAAACGACGTCACACATTATGAAAATTTCTCGGGCATTCAGGCCGGTAAATGTTTAATACTGTTTATTATAAACAGAGCATTTACTTAAATATTTGTATCTATAAAAAGGTTAAACATAAATAATGTAAGAATTATCGGACTTTGTCCATTTCATAATATGTGACGTCATTTGTTTTCATTTGGATACGCATTAAATGTATGAAAGAAAATCATGGAGAATTGAATTTAAAAGTAATAAAATCGGTTAAGGCACGTCATGCTATATGACAGTTCCGTATAAAATACAGGTTCGATTCCTATTTTCTATGAAAATTTCTCGGACATTCAAGCCAGTAAATGTCGTTAACACTGTTTTTATAAACAGAGCATTAACTTAATTATTTGTATCTATAAAAATAACGTGTAAACATAAAAATGTCTTAAAAAATAATTGTCAGACTTTGTCCATTTCATTATATATATATATATATATATATATATATATATATATATATATATATATATAAAACAACTAAAAAAGTTGCAAATTAAAAAAATAATAGTGTTTTTATGAAAGTATTTATTTATTTTTGATATTTCAGATCGACTTCGATTTTTTTTTCAGAAATAACTGTTTTTAGAGGTTTGTTTACAAGTAGCGTCCGTCGTAAACAAACCTCTAAAAACAGTTATACATATTTAGGAAGTATACGTGGCTTCTCATTAAGCTATATATATATATATATATATATATATATATATATATATAAAATAAAAACAGACCACTTTAAGGTTCCATGTAATAAATTATTTCACCACAGCCCTTTTAAAGGACTGCGGATCATTAGAAAAGGATTAAAACGAAAAAAAAACAACCTTAAAGTAGTCTGTTTTTATTTAAATTATTTGCTCTTGATTTACATTGAGCTCTCTGGATTTTATCCTCCTTGGGTCTACCCATACGGATTACCCTAGTTTTTCGTTAACTATATATATATATATATATATATATATATATATATATATATATATATAGTGTAACCCGGATATAAGAGAGTTGTCGGGACCGGAGAAGAAGTCTCTTATATCCGGGTTTCTCTTATATCCGGGTTTGGTCTATTTTCTAAACATTAACACAGGCTCTAATTTGGAACCAGAGAAAACATCTCTCTTATATCCGGGTTTCTCTTATATCTGGGTCTCTTATATCCGGGTTACACTGTATATATATAATCCTTTGGTTTTTCTTCTTAATAATAACAAAGATTTCGACGATAACAGTTTGATTTATAAATCTTGTCCATTTTTTTCATTATGTATGTTTACTTTTTAACTAGTGCTTGGACACACACACACATACACACACACACACACACACACACACACACACACATATATATATATATATATATATATATATATAAAACTTAGAAATGATTAGACTGAGCTAGCTAGTTCGCTATATATTTTATGTTCCATTTCAATACTGCTATCGATTCGGAAAGACCTTGAAAATATTAGTCAAGCCTAGAGACAATTGATTTAATAATCATGGAACATCTGTTGCTTTTACTTCTAGAACAATCCTTATTCAATGCCACTTTTCAGTGAAACTTTCGCTATGACTACGCAGTAAAATATTGCAAACATTCCCTCAGGCCTAACGTAAGGCACAAGGCAGATTATAGAGTCACAGTCTCTGAATTGGTAACCGTTCTCTCTGCAAAAAGCCTGACCGTTTATATGGCTTTGATCGTCAGCCTCACGTAATAGGCGTAAATATAAAAATTTCCTTGGATGTGAGGAACGAATGAAACCCTAAGACCATAGATATGTACCTTCTTCTTTTGTGCGCCTCCAGGACCTGGGAAATGGTGGCACTCCACAACTTCCTATCCTAAGTCGCATTTAGTAAATATTGTCTCTTTATTATACATCCCATTTTATATCCATGTGTAAGGGGCTTGATAGAATTTTAAATAAATATGGTGTTCAGACTGTTAAACCACAATTCCGAAGGTTACACACACACACACACACACACACATATATATATATATATATATATATATATATATATATATATATATGTGTGTGTATGAAAAAATCCGTAGGTAAGTAATCCAAGTGTATCCTAATAATATAAAATATTAAAACTGATTCACAAATACAGCTCAATGTAGTTATTACAGTGCATATATGTTGAAACTTGACTAATGCATGTAATAATAATGCAACACAAAATGTACTTAGAACAAAATGTATTGAAACAAGAAAGTGTACACAATATTTACATATAGTCTTTTGTATATTCCTGGTAAGACCGTTCCTGGAAAATGTGTTGACTGAGTCGCAGTTGGGCAGAGTCTCTGGTTGAATCTCTTGATTCCTTCCTCTCTTCCCGGTACCAACCATATTTATATGGTCGGTACTCCACTATGCAAATTAGGTGGATCCTACCACAACAATATATAAATAAATTACAATGTAATTTATATATATATATATATATATATATATATATATATATATATATATATGGGGTGATAGATAAATTGCCGTCTAAATTATTCAAAAATGAAAATAACACTGACATCTCATTTTAACAAATACATTTACCAAAATTACAGAAATATATCTTGAAATACTAAAGAATAAATTTATTCAATAAAAACGTCATTGGCTTCAACCGCGGCTTCCAGACGACATCGAAATCTCCATCAATTCTTCTGGATGGTCTCCTTGTTCAATTTGGTGAATGCTGCCGTAATGCTTGCCTTCATTTCATCTTTTGTTTTACAAGAAGTTTTGTTGGTCACTCACTCAACTGCGCCCCATACATAATAATCAAGGGGGTTGTAGTCTGTAGTATGTGGCCAGATGTAAGAGCTAATGTGGTAGCAGAAATTGTCTGACAGCCATGACTGGTTTCTCCTGCTTGTGTGGCATGGTACAGAGTCCTGTTACCAGATATAAGGTTTTCCATCAGCCACTCCCTTGATCCAGGACAGCACTACTTCCTCAAGGCACTTGATATAGGCCTCCGTGTTGAGCCTGAGGCCCTCATCAACAAATTCTGGAGTTTTTTTTTTTATTATTATTAGCAGAACGATCGGTGTAAGTTTTCCATGCTGTCGTAAATTCGTAATCACCATTAGACTCATCCGATTCTTTCTGAATCGTCTACACTCTCCTCAGATTGGCATCTAATCACCTAAAAATATTCGTATTGGAGGTTCTGGCGTGAATACCAAGCATTACCGCATGTCCATTACATATTTTTGGCGGTGGGAATTGCGTCATAATTGGACAAAATCAAAACGAAATAACGTGCATGCGCGAAATTAAAAATATAAAATGGCAACAATTTACTCATCGTGGCCTGCATTTATATATATATATATATATATATATATATATATATATATATATTAATGAATATACATAATATCAACATCGATAACACTACTCTATAACACTAGTTTCATGCAGTTATATATATATATATATATATATATATATATATATATATATTGTGACGATCGCAAAGGGCGTGAAACCAGGGTTACAAACTCACAACAATATATATATATATATATATATATATATATATATATATATATATATATATATAGTTGCGTTGATGTGAGTTTCATTAAATAATAGAGACAATTTTTGTTTATTTATTTTAAGTAAGTTTCTTTTAATATTGTCTGATAAGCTTAATAACAATATCATTGAAAGACGAAAGGAAATCACCATATTGATACATGTTTTAATCCTATCTAAGCTTTCGGCTTATATAAGCCATTATCAAAGATGACAATTACATTTCAATATATCAAACGATACACGGACCAAAATGAAAAATTTCAAAGCAACGGCAAACTCATGTATACGAGACCCGGAAGCGAAAATAGCATCGCAGCTCGTGACCACGCGAAAGTTAAAACGAGAAGTATTAAGTATGGGAATCCGTTGGTATAAACCAATGGCTTCTGTTATCAATTAATTCTAATTACTAACTTT